AACCTTACTAGGGGTTGTTCAAGAAACTGCAGCAGAAGAGATAAAGCAAGGAGAGTGAAACTAAGAGATATGGTGAGTACGGCCTCTTTGTCCAACCAAATTGTATTCCTTGTCGCTCACACTCTTATGGCGTAGCGCAGATGATGAGGGGGGAGGGGAGAGGGATTATTTGAGAAATTTGCCACTAGCCACTCATTGCATGCAGCAGAAATTTCACAAATTGTTTTGTACACGACAATTTTATATTTACAGGGGTAGGTGTAATAGTGAGTAGGTAAAACGAAATAAGAAATTTTTTCCTTCAAAGATATTTTTAGTCGTCCAGAAGTGATAATGGCGGCCATGATAAAGACCACCCTTACTTTTTAAGCATACAAATGAGCAGCGAATTCTTGGTGTGAAAGATGTGCTTGCATGTTTTCTTAGTAGCAACCATGAAGTTATGCGATAAACTATTGCACCATACATACTGTAAACAGCTCGTCTGGGAAAGGGAACAATCTGTGTTTAAAAGCACTGCAATATCCAGTATCTCAGAGATCATGGGTTCAAAGCTCGTACAGGCCTGAAAAATGTTTCTAAGGCTTTATTTATTATGACTGCTTAATTAGTGCTCCGTTCTTCACCCGCAGTTCACGTATATGATTTCATTTTACAGTCATTAAAAATATGATTAGTCTGCACCCATTTTGATTGACACGTCTTAAAGGAACAGACAAATACTTGATAAAAGTCAAAATTTTGTCTCAGTGATTAACATGACATCTTGGTAACACTCACCCTACTGCCCATTCTTTGACTGCCTCGACATGCAGTCTCTCTCTTTTTGTGATGTTACTCCTGGCACCTAACCCTTCAAGGGACAGCATGCTGCCCTTCAACTCTTGATCTGTGTGGATTCCTTTTCCAGATGAGATCAGGTCTAAGCCACACGAGATCACATGACCCATTACTGAAACAAAAACTGGTGATGTCAATTAAATGGGGCACTACACAAAAATGATACCATAATACTCTTTAAGAATGAAGGTCTGGTTTGTGCCTTAAGTAAGCAAGATTTTCGAATACTTCTCTACCAATGAACCACAGAAACTCTCTCTAATAATTATGTTATAGCATTTCTGGGTTTACCTGCATGATAGTGACATAAGACATTCCTCAAGCATATTGTTAGCTGATTAGGATCATCAAAGTCAAAAGCACTCTCATGTATGTAGTCAAAATAATAAAGATCTTACTTTATAACTAAGCTCCACTGATCTCTAGAGGTCACCAGAAGTCATTTTTAAATCACCCAGTCACTATTATGGCAATAAATAATCTAAGCTGCTCAAATTTTTGAAAAGGAATAGTGACTTTAGCCAAGCAGTCAATTTTACTAATAGGAACTAAAAGGAGTGCAAAAACTTACTCCCTAAAATGGCAAGGGGAAGCTCCAAGAAAGAGTAGTTTGCATGTTAGGTATTAGTTTTCAATAACTCCACTCAATATATTTTTTTAAATGGTTTTGATAATAATTCACATTTCCTTTTTACAATCAATCTCCTTAACATACTTTTCAACTAAGTCTTATCTCTTTAATAAACGGTAGACTATTCTGTCCAGAATTGTCATTAGTCTATGACAATAAAAAGTTGCACAATAATTGTTATTCAAAATGTCCAATAGAAAAGTTCTCACCAAAGTTGGGATCTGCTGCTAACATCTTTGAGACAGAGCCCTTAATTCCATTGACACTGCTGTCATCATACCATCCTGTGTACTAAAACCAAAAAAAAAAAAAAAAGAAACAAATAAACTAGATATTAATTTTCTCACAAGGATCGATGCTAGTTTTCACTAGGTTAATTTTCAAATTTAATTGTCATATCTCTCAGGAAAAAGTTTCATGGAAGTTATGGTATAACCTCAATCATTTAAGTTATCTTTGGTGATCAACTCAGTTGATAAAACCAATTCATCTTGTGATAACCCCCATCAACAGAGCACCCGATAAACTATTTACAACCTCATCACTGCTATTCACTGATGGTTGTGAGAATTACTGTAAAATTCTGAAAATTAGTCCAGGGGCTAATACATTTTTCAAAGGACCTTATAAGGAGCTTATTTTTGGAAGGGGCTTATTTTGGGAAGGGGCTTCTATTTGGTGGGGCTTTATCATAGGAGGGAATTAGAGTTTAGCCCTGATATCCATATAAATTTTCAACCAAAGCCAACCTGTGTTAGGGTAGCATCAAACATTTTTGCTGCATCATTGCTACTTGTTGTCAGTGGTAATCCTTCACTTCTCCAAGCCTACAAAAACAGAGAACAAACAATCTATTATTATCTTCATGCTTACAATTTCCAACTCAAACCTTCTTAATTCCAAGTTTCAAAATCCTAGCCACACCACTCACTCTAGGCTATTAGTGGTGTAGTTCAGCTGTCAATGAATACTTGATGCTGTGTCTACTTGTCTAGGTGACCTATATTTTCATTCTTGGCGACCATTTCATGATTTTAAGTGGTAAGGAAACCCACACCTCCTCCCAGAAATTATTTTAAAAAGTGATGCATAAAAATGGAACACTTTTCAAGTGAGTTTTGAGTTTTAATCCACCATATCACTTTGAGTTTGCTTAGCCCCCCTCTATGATAAGTCCCAGAGACTTCCTCCATGTTCTCCACTAACCAGACTTAAAAAAACCGAAAAAAATTTGCAACTCAGCCAATCCCAGTTTCATGTCCTCAAGGCAACTGGCTTGTTTTTACTTTGAGCTCTTATTGACCCCCGGCCAATAGTTGGTTGCCATTTAACAAATGGTTAACACCACCACCACCATACACCCTTGTTATGGATGCACACAGGAGGTTGCTAAGCATGAAAGAGGCATAAGAGTCACATGAGGCAATAGCTGAGAGAGACTCTGGGTCTTGGAGTGCTAAGCAAACCTCCAATATCCAAACCCCCAAATGGTGTTTACCATTTGTTTTATAACATAACATTAATACATTTCAGCAGTCCCCTTTTTGTCAGTTAGCAAATCTCATATAACCACAAAGATAACATGTGTGTGGGGAAAACTAGTCTTTGCATTTGCTCATGTCAGCAGCATACACCCACAGGCAGCACTAAGTTGATCAATCAGAGCACACACTTTACTGTGGTTAAGTTTAACTAATAATAGTCTTTGAACAGTGGTGAGGCTAAGGGTGACCTGGTTATGATACAGACCTTGCTGCTTTTCAAATGCAAATAACTTTGTTATCATGCTAACCACATTCTGATCTCTATCACGACAGGGTCACCTTCAGCTTCACTTCAAATCAAAGGCTTGGTAGCTGAGTACACAACTGTAAAATGGTCTGACTATTTTAACTGTCGTGAATGTTCTGATTGTCAGTTATCATTATTTTGATTTTGTTGTTTAGACACTCCATCAAGATGCTAACTAATAAAAATTATGAATACTGCAATTGAACCTCACAAACCAATGTACCAGCTAGTTCAAAATGAATTAGTAGTCAATCATTTAACTGAGTGGGTTAATTAATATAAAGCAGTGTGGCCTCAGTCTTTATCCAAAAATAAATAAATAAATAAAATAACATAAACAAGGTGCTTTTAAAATGATAACATAAAGCACTGGTCTAACAAATAGTCCAAAAAGGGTACATGCCTGGAAATGCAAACCTAATAATAGTATTCCATGTTTGTTTAAAATATGGAGGGGGATTCTAAAAACTATATCAGAGGACAAATTTTCCCAAATTGCTCACACGCAGAAAATCAAGCAATTTAATATCAGTGGTTACATGGTATGCCCAAATTATGACATTTCTTCGACTAAATTCACCGCCAAAATTTTTAGGATCCCTTGACCTCTTTTAAAGACAACCGACCACCTAATTAAGTCTCTCAAGGAGTTTGAAAGAAGCATTCGGCAATTAGAATGGACATCATAATATGCACATTGTAAAATAAATTATAGAGAAACTGTGAGAGGTAAGATGAAAAATATGTATCGAAGGGTAGAATTTGAACACCACTTTTGGCCAAGCAGGCGCGTGCCGCTTTAAAAACAAAAACAAAAAATATTCGCTGCGAGTCCCCAGTGGAGGTCACGCTGAACCGGGAGTAATAACGCATTTGGTTCAGGTCTATTCAGCCTTTCGTCAGTTTGTTCCTCCCAAAATCTTGAAACTAATGATAAACGAGTTAGGACACACTTATATAAGTTACGTACATCAAATGGCGACTGAAATGTTATTTAGTGGAGAAGAGATCGAAAGAAACTATAGGACCGAGTACCATGACTGTGCATACCGTAGACTCATGTCAACAAAATTTCTTGCCTAACGATAAAACCCAACAGGGCAAGAGTACCATATAACCCCATACATTAATTATGCATTCAGTCTTTGTTCAATTAAAACAATAGCGATAACAATAGAACTCCGCAGAGACTAGTAGTCTTTGTTTTCAAAATTTGGATTTTTTTCCTAAGTCTTTTTTGAAACAGGGTAAATTTGGCGCGTTTTGGCTTTGCAAAACGGAAAACTCAAGTAATTTTCTAGAGGTTTTTAAATTTGAAATATAACTGAATGTTCAGTTTCGCTTTGAAAGCGTAAAATTGGCCGGAAAATAACGTTAAGTCTACGGTCAGGCTTTGAAGTTTGTCAATGCAAAGTTTAAATAAATGTTGTGTCTTACCTGTTCTTGTGGTTTTGGTTGATTCTTTCATTATCCTTTCGTGTCCTAGTGATGAAAATTGTTCGTGAAGGCCGGTGCATACAGCGATGCAAAGAAACCTTTGTATCTAGTCTTTCTGGACTTCACAAAGTTGGGCGATATGTTCGATAATGTTTCCAAAGGGATCGTTTCCGTAGTGCTGACGCCACATATATTCTTGTAGGTAGCCATCGAAAAGTCCTTTGGATGTTCCTGTTTGGGGCAAACCTCGCTTGATTCCCCACCATGTATTTTCGATACCCTGTGTGTGCGCACCGGTGAATTCCGGCGCATTGAAGCCATTCCATCGCAACCCTTTTTTGAACATCGCCACTCGTACCCGTCTCGCGATGAAGCACGTCGCGTCCAGCTAAGTTCATTGCTGCACCCAGCTCGAGGACATTTTACCGACGTC